GCTCGCTCCACTCTGCTTCCTCTGGCTTGGTCCTGTGGTACGATGACGATGTTTTGGGTCCGCTGTCGATGAGGAAGGGAAAATGGTAAAGGAAGCTTTTCGCTTCGGAATCGCCACCAGACTCGTCAGTGGGGCTGACGGTGGCGACCCCTGCCCCAGACGCAAGTTGGATGGAAGTATAGGCTGGGCTTGGACGCGTTCACCCATCCTATACAGGTTCACTACGGTGGTCGCTTAACCTTACGATCGCTTACGCCAGTCGGTCAGCCAACACTCACCAGTGGACTTGAGATTTCTTCTTCTGGATCTTGCATTCGATCCTCAACTTCTTCCGAATTTCACACCACTTTAGGCGGTAAAGCTTTATCTTCGTATAGCTTTATCTGCGCTCGTTTCAATCTTTTATCCGTAGTTACTGAGTTTCAGATCATCGTAGACTTCTTTCGTAGTAGATAATTAATTCGCGGCTACGTTGATGTCGCGGCTACGCGACAACGCAAATGTCGGCAGACGTCACACATACATTCTTACTGACTTACTGACTTACGTGCTGATTACTGACTTACACACCGACTTATTGAATTACTTACTTACTGACTTACTCACTTACTGATTTAATTACTGACTTACTTACTGACTTACTTACTAACTTACTGAATTACTTAATGACTTACTGGCACACTGGCTTACTGACTGGCTGATTTACTTACTTACGTACCTACTAACATAATTACTTAATCACTGAAGTACGTACTTACTTACTGACTTACTTACTTAGTGACAGACTTACTTATATACTCACTGACTTACCTACTAAATTACTGACTTACATGCTCACTTACTGACTGACTCACTTACTTAAGTATTGATTTACATACATACCTACTGACATATTTTCTTACTTACTGACATACTTACTTACTTACTGATTTACTGAATTACTTATTGACCTACTCACTCACTTATGCAAATACAGACCTACCTACAGACTTTCTGAATCACTTACCGACTATCAGACGCTCATACTGACATTCCTACTTATTTACTGACAAACTCAATTACATAAAGAATTACTTACTTACTTACAGACTAACTGACACTCATAGAGAATTATTTACTTAATTACTGAATTGCTCACTTACTAACCTACTAACTTACTTGCAGAAAGACTTACTTACTGATTTACTTAGATACATACTGACTTACATACGAACTTATGAATTTACTTAATGCAGACTTAGTTACTCAAAGACTTACTCACTTACATACGAACTTACTTACTAACCTTCATATTTACTTAATTACTTAATGACTTACAGACTTACTTACTGACATATTCACTTACTTTTAGGTACCTACTCATTTACTTTACTTAGTAGCTAGGTACTTACTCACTTTTTTAATTACCTAACTTAATACCTACAGA